TCCCCAGCCCCGCCCCAGCCCCCTCTGTCCTTCCAGATTTTCTGAGAGCCTCTCCCCATTTCCTTCTCGGAGCCTCTCTCTCCTCCAACAGTCTGAGGAGCCCTTTGCAAGGATTTTATTCCCACGAAGGGCCCCCAGAAGCAGCGTTTTTCAGAAAGTAGTGACTGTAGTATGTTGTCCTTGACCAGAGGGACCAGGAGCGGGCAGAGACCAGGGCCACCAGGGAAGCCAGGCCTGTGCCTAGCCTGGCCTCCCCCTTGTGCTAGATTCCCAGGGCGATCGGTTTATTACCGTCTTTGGCTACTGGTTTGCACGTGGCATGATGTGTCTCCAACACTTCTCACAATGCCTGGCCCCTAGAAAGTCTCTAAATGCCGGGACACACGTGGTCATTTAACACCCATTGTTGTGTGCCTACGATGTTCAGGGTGCCGGGAATACAAAAGGCAAAGACTTGACTTCTGCCCTCAGGGTGCTTGAAAGCTGAGTGGAGACACTGAGGAGGAGAGTGTGACATGAAAAGGAACAGGCCGGGGAGTAAATGTGGACACAAAGGTCAGTGAAATCCAACCAGGGAATAGGAAAGCCAGAGGGGCCCAGGGGATGTTGAGAAACGACTTCAGAGTCGCCTCCCTTCCCCCAGCTTCTAACCTCAGAGATGGTGGAGGAGGAGGACGGTGAGGGTGCTATTTTGAACCCTATGTTAAACTCTGCTCCCCACCCCACCCCCCCTGCTTCTAAGGCCTGGGGATCCCACCCTGGGAGTCTCTGGTGAACATGGACTATGGAAGGAAGAAGACAGAGAATTTAAGAATTCTTCAGCTTGACATTCATTGACCAGGAAATCAGGAGTCCGAGTCCCTCTCTGCCTCCCTTTTCCTGACTTGGTGTCATTTTACTGCTCAGGGTCATCCGAACTTCAGTGGCCCGCTCTGTGCTTGGCCTCCTCGCACCTTGGTCCTTTTCATGGCCCTTCCTCCTCCTGAGTCGCTGATGTTCTCCAAGCTCCATCGTTGGCCTCTTCCCATCCTGCCCCACGCAGCCATCCCGCACGGACTCACCTCCTCTTTCCATAGAATCAGCCGCCACCTCCCAGTGGTTCTCAACAGGGTACGAGGGGAGGGAGGAGAAGCCGAGGGGAATCACCTAGAATCATTTGGTGAGAAGGGCGTTCCCACTGGTGACACCACCATTCGCTCGCTCAGTCATCCCAGAAAGAAATTTGAGGTCATCCGTGAAAGTTACCTGGCCGTCCTGCTGGGAGTCGAGCGACCTCCAAGCCCTGAAAACGTTACCTCCCGAGTATCATTCCAATTCATCACCTCCTCTCCGTTCTTACTCCGATCCCTCAGTTCAGGTCCTAAGCAGGTCTGCGTACCTGGATCCCCGTGGTTCCCCTTTCTCTGGGAACCGCCCTTCTCAGAGTGGCCCAAAAATCAGCAGGGAAAGGAAACTCCTTCCTCTCTGATTCCTGGGGAGCAATCAAGGCTCTTTATAACCCCACAGACGGGGGGACCCCTGGGCCGACGGGGGCTCATGAAACAAAGCAGCCAGAGAGGCAGGAACAGAGGCTGTGTTGCACGTGCGGTGGCTCTGGAAGATGCTAACATCAGGCGGAGCTGGGGGAGGGGGACACGGGAACCTTCTGTACCATCCGTGCAAGTGTTCTGTAAATCTCAGGCAAGGAGCGAATGCTCTCAGGATTTGCTGATCTCACCGTGTGTCCGTCTGTCCGTTCTCTGGACCCTGCCGGCTTTATAAAGCGAAGGAGGGGTCCGGCGAAGCCCGGGCTTGGTGCCAGCTGGGAGACACTTGGCAAAGACGAGGTGCCGTCACAAGACGGCTGCTTGCGCTCTGAAGTGAACCAGTCACGACGCACGGGGCTTTTCTCTCATGGGTGTGAAACCCCCGGATCTACGGGACTGAGGCGGGGACGGGGGGGCTTAGATGACACCCAGGCCCCCCCCCCCCCCAGCTCATCATCATGCTCATCGCTGACCTCGTGAAGGTTTGGGCATGCGGGGAAGGAATGCGGCCACCAGGGCACCAACTAATAATTCCTTTGACGCTGATAACTCCTCGGCCCTTTGAGGCCCCTCGTGGCATCCGGAAAACAGACGGAAGCGGGGCTCGGAGCGGATGGCTTAGGGATCTTCTGGTTGCTCCCACACCTCGGGGTGGACGGGACGGGTGTGAGAGGAGCCAAGAGCACACCCGGGGCACCTGGGCAGTGTGCCCTGACAGCAGGTGCGCAGAAGAAGCTGCTGCTTTGTGCACAGCCCCGTCCAGGGTTCAAACGCCCCAGGAATAACGGTTAGAGTCACCCCTCGACCGAAGGCTCCAATCAGTGAGATTCCGCCTGGAGGTAGCAGAGCAAGGACCGGGCGGGTGGAAGAAGGAAGCCACAGCCACGGGGCCTGTGGCCCTATCGCCGTAGCCCCCACCTGCTTTTCCTTTCCTACCGCTAGAACCTTCTGGAGTGTTCACCCTCCCCCCCCCCGCCTTAAAAAAAAAAAAAAGAATTCTCGAATTTATGTCTTTGCCCTTTCTCGTCCCTCTTTTCCTTCTCCCAGGCCGGGTGTGTTGCGAGTGGCTGAATTTATTCGAGGCTGAATCGCAGAATGGCGAGGTGGGGTCGGGAGGGAATTTTCAGGATGGCCTGGGGAAAGCAGTGGACCCTTCCCAGGAGGTCCTGGATTCTGACCAGCGGCCATGACCTCACCAGCAGGCCCTGGGTGCTAAGAGAGCGGGCAGCCCCGGCGGGATCACTGTGTTACGCTGGGTTTGTTTTCCCGTGGGTGACCGTTCGGTCATATCTGGTCGTCTCCCAAGCCAGGGACTCGTCCTCCTCGACAGCGCCCTCTCCCTCGGCCACCACTCAGCGACCCCCATCTCCCCGCTCTAGACCTACGACGGCCAACGCCCCGGATCCAGTGATCATCTCCTTCGTCGTCTCTCTGCCTCCGTGCTTTCCCGCCTTCGATCTTGCCAAACACCGGTTTTCTTCTAACTGCAAACACCCGCCAACCCGCCCCCGGCAGACGAAGGTGGGTTACACCAAGACCCCTCTGCTCACCTCCAAGCCCACGTCTCTAGCCGTGAACTCCAAAGCTCTAGGCCCCTCTCTTGTTCCCCGCTGGACCCTCCTTCGGATTCTATGTCTCTGTCTCTGTGTGTCTCTCTCTCTCTCTGCCCCTCCCTTGCTTGTTCTCTCTCTCCAAAATAAATAAATAGACATAAAAAAAAAAAAAAAGAATATGAGATAAACCATGACATCATGAGGCCATCACCTCCTTCTAGAGGCCTTTCCCTGTTTTCCCTCCCAGGATGCAACTCACTCATTCAGCTGGGTTAGGCTGTCCTCCTCTGGGTCCCCTCATCCATCCCCCCCCGCTGCCCCCACACGTTGCACTGAGCGCCCTGTGTCATGTGAGCCTGCCTGTGGCTCCCTAAGACCGTAATCTCCTTGCTAACAAGGCCCAGGAATCAGCATCCTCCTTCGTGGGGTCCAGCCTCCCTTCTGCGAGTCACTTCCTGTCCCTTGGCTGCTTAATGCCTTCGTAGGCCTTCTGCCGCAATGAGGGTGAAGAACAAGGTTCTTGACTGCGCGCGCAGAAGGTTCTTGAAGGCTTGACCCCCTTCTCCCTCTTGGGCCTCTGTCTGCCCAGTTCCGCCCCGCTGCCCACCGGCCCGCAACAGTTCACGCTGACCTTGCCCACAGGCCTGAGTGTCTGCGCTGTGCCCCTCCCTACACCGCCCTTGACGTCCCCTCCCGCTCAGTTGCGCCTAATTGCACACCTTCTCCGCTGAACTCCATGAAAATAGGAGCCACGTGAGCGTCGTCATTCCTCCCCCCTCGTGCCCAGCACGGAAGAGACACTCAAGAACCTCAACTACAGGGGCGCCTGGGTGGCGCAGTCGGTTGAGCGTCCGACTTCAGCCAGGTCACGATCTCGCGGTCGGTGAGTTCGAGCCCCGCGTCGGGCTCTGGGCTGATGGCTTGGAGCCTGGAGCCTGTTTCCGATTCTGTGTCTCCCTCTCTCTCTGCCCCTCCCCCGTTCATGCTCTGTCTCTCTCTGTCCCAAAAATAAATAAACGTTGAAAAAAAAAAATTAAAAAAAAA